CCTGCTGAGGCATTTCACTTTGACTCCAATCCAGTCTGCTATTATTAAGGTCTACCAACAGAGGAGATAGGCCACAGAAATCAGGATTTAAAAGAACTCCTCTTTTGGTGGATTTTTATTTAAAATTCTAAAATGTGTGATATGTTTCTAAGTTTCCTTACTGGTTTTTAGTTTATCAGAGTATCATTTATTCGTACAGTATTTATAAAATTTTGTGTATAGCTATAAAAATATACTAATAAAATGCTAAAAGAATTATTAAAACAGTTTAAAAGCTAAAAAAATTGTTTCTTTGCTTTGCATTTACAACTCTTTCTGTTTTAAGGAATTTTCTTGTAAACACTGAGTACAAATATAAACTTCTCATAAGTTTTTCTCCTTTGTAAAGTTTTTGACATCCAGAAATGTCCAGATATTATAGATTAAATGGAATTTAGGTAAGCATGTGTCAAAAATAATGTATTAACCTTTCAAAGAATGCTTGACTTAAAGTTTTATTACATTAAAATGTAATTTTGCTAAAGATCTTCAAAAAAATCTGAATCATTTGTCCTCTAGATACCACAAAAAGTGACCATTTCCAAGGTTGAGTTAATATTTTAATCTTATTGGCAATTTTTAGGGAGAGTTTTCAGAGTATATCTTTCTTTACATGTGGGTTGGTTATTTTTTAAGTCACCTCTGAAATTTTTGAGAGGCAAGGTGGGCCGGAAACCTTAATTAAAGTTCCTCTTCTGCTGCTTATTAGCCTTGAGCAAGACACTTACCTCTCCACTTTTTCCTTTTCTAAAGTAAGGATTTAGCTCTAGATGATCTCCAAGGTATCTTTCAACCATAAAATTGTGTCTTAGTTCAATATTTTAATTAAAGAATTTTAAGTGGCTTAAAAATCACATTTTTAAGCTATCCCTAGTCATACTTTATTTTTAATAGAGTTCTACAAAAGAACCCTATGTTTGAGATTATTAAGCTCATACAGTTATATTCTAAGAAATGATGTAGTCAAGCAGGATACACAAATGCCTATTATGTTCAAATTTTTGTGCTAAACCTTTTAATGTATATTACTGTACATTGTTGTAAAATTGCACACATATACCTCTTGTACACTGCACAAATTTTCATATCATTGTGAAATAGTAATTTTACAGTTCACTCAAAAGTCATAATAAAGAAGCATATGCAGGAAAAAGTTAACGATAGGCAGTTATTCCTGTGTTTTTTTGAACTCTAAGAGTGAGTATATTATCAAAATAATTGAGTACCAGGTAGCTGTTGATTTTATTTGATAATAATGTTTAGTACAGAAAGTGAAATATCTTTCAGGCATAGGAATTGGATAATATGTGAATTAGGCAAACATTAAAAAAATTAACTGAGACAAATTTAAGTCAGCCCTTAGCTCAGAAAAGAAATAATAAGTAGAGGTAGAAATTAGTAAATGTATTTTAAAAAGTACTTGGCATAGGAAAAGTAGAGTTGTAGATAGAGTCATCTCAAGCATAGTCTAGG